GGGGAGGAGGAGGAGGAGGAGGAGGAAGGATACACCCACCCTTCTAATGTGTTGTGCTAACTTGGAAGGGGGAGAGAGAGAGAGTCAAAGAAATGATTTTATCCAGCTGGATTTGTTTTAAAGGGTTACTCATGGACCTTATTCCAATTTCAAGCACCTGCTATTAGATAATCTGTTCTTCAATATCTAAAGCGTACCATCTTCCCTTATTGCACTTTTAAATTTTAATGGAGGAGGGGGGAAAAAAAACAACCTTCCATAAGCTACAGCTGACAAATCACATCTAGGATACCTTTCTTATTTGGTACTGAATACCTAGTTAGCACAGTATAATGCTCTCTGTGCAGAACAATATGACACAGACATAGCAGGTCACTCCATAATCCAACTCTCATCTAAAGTGGTCCACGACAGTTTCAAATCTGCTTCGTGGAGTGCAGCAAAGCAATCTCCCAGGCAGCGCTCCATTGCTTTCATCACACAAAGCCTACAACTCGGTATGAATTACAACGGGCTGCTCTCTGCCTCAGAATCCTGTTGTTGAGGCTCTGGAAGGAAGCAGGCTGGGCGGGGTGGGGGTGGAAAGAGCAAAGCACACAACACTTGTCTATCTTCTTTCTCCTCCCATTCTTTTCCAATTCCCACCCCCCCCAAGCAATAGGGAATGGGGGGGGGCAGGAAGAAAGAGATGTAAGTGTAAGCCAGTTACTAAAAGTTTGGAGGGGGTGGCGGCAATGGGACAAAGTTTGGTCCTGTACCAGACAAGGGAGGCAGGGGAAAAAAATCCTTTATATCCCGTATGGGCGCATATATTCTTTTGAAAGCAGGCTTCAGAATTTCATTTTTTAATGTGTGTCATTTCACAGAAAAAAGTGGCAATAAAGTTTATCTTATCATCTTATCTTACCATCTTGTTCAGCCTAATAGGCAGCACTAAAACAGCCTTCCTTCTTCCTTTCCTTTCCTTCTTTCTTTCTTTCTCTCCCTCCTTCCTTCCTTCCTTCCCCTATCTCATATTATTTAGAGCAGATGCTCAGATTAAAAAAGGTTTGCTATACATCAAACATGGATGGTAGAGTTTCTCTGATAACTTACTACTATCTTTCATTTAACAGCCTGTACTCTCTTCCTATTTTGGGCCTCTTCTTCTTTTTCTTCCTTTAGCTCTTCTTTGCCTGACTCCAGCATCTTGGCAGGACTATCTTAGCCCTGCTGAGCTAGACCGAACACAACATACAGTTTGGCAACAGAGTGGCATGTTTATTCCCTGCTGAATCCCTATTCCTTGTTTGCACATCCGCTGTACCAGACACAGGAAGTTAATTAGCAGCATGATGCTGTGCTAATTGTGTTAATTTACAAGGTTTTAGTCAAAAAGAATCATGCCAGGGCTGGCACTGCTGTCAGGCTTCCGGCTTAATGATTAAGAAATACTGAAAACAAGGTGGGAAGAATTGCAGTAATTACACTAATAATTAATAGAGCAACGGGATTAATTTGTAAATATATTTTATTGCAATAGCGCTGATATGAATTTGGATTATTTAAACTGGAGGCTGTTGACAAGCTTCAGGTATGCTTTCTCACTTAGTCCCAAGGATTTAATAACATAACTTAAGCCCAATACTAAAAGTTTTATATGAGATTATGAATCCTCAGCTTAGTTAAAAAAAGATGGGACTCAAGCAATATGTTTATCGGGTTCGTGAAAGCTATATTTTCACAATTTCAATTAACTGTAATTTATAGAAGCACCTAATTTCATTAAGAAATTATTGGCAGTTTCTTCACAATATTTCACATTATGTTGGAAACAGCAAGAAAAAAAATCACAAGCAGGGTATTTATTAAATAGTGGGAAAAATTAAAGAGACACTAATGCATTAACCTCATAGTTCTTTTTAACAAAAATCTTTCCTTTATGCTTACATCTTTGGAGTTTTAAGTTTTCAGAAATTATAAAACACAAAAGGCAGGAAATTCAAGCTTCTAGAATAGATTAAAGCTTCTCTTCTTTGATAAAAATAAGCACCATATACAAAATTTGGAAAGGGATTTATTTAACTGCAACCTTGCTGGCAAACCACTGGCATATATATTTTCCCTGAGAAAGTATTTTTAATTTTCATATGAGTGCTACTATTTTATAAAAGGAATCTGTTCTGACCTAGGCTTCACAAAATCACGAAACAGACTCCTTGTCTGACAAAACCCCTTTTTATTTGGCTAATAATTTCTATCATTCGTATCCAAAGTCCCGGTAAACAGACTTTCAAGGGTGATTTGCAGACACAGACTTTAGCAGCTTGGAGAGTTGCCAGGCACAACACTTGTACAAGGAAATACTTGGCAAGGTGTTTTTGGGAGTCACTATCTTAGATAAGCAGATATTCACACTAATTAATTTTTGCTCCTATTTATTCCCAATGGGAGGAGCCATTCACCTGTGCCTTTACTCCCAGAGTCAACCCTTGTTCCTTAATTCAACTCTTGTTCCACCCTTCTCCTGATAGCTCTGTGCATGCATACATCGGAAACAGTCTCTAGCTGTTCTTCTGCCCCACTGATCTCCAACTCCAAAGGCAGCTGATAACTGTTGGATGGCCCTGGCCCCATCTCTGCCTCCAACGCCGAGCACTCATCAGAGCCTTCCCCACACTGACTGGCCCATATTCCTCCCCAACCTCCTCACTGTTTGAGTCTGCTGCCAGCTCTGCTGGCCACAGGCGGGCCAAACATAATCTAAGTGATCAAAATTTGGTACTTTTTCCATTTATTTCAGAAACAAAGTGATGTGCCAGTTTGAAAAGGTAGTTATTCCCGACTTGCCCCCAACAATCTGGGTCCTCATTTTACAGACCTCGTAAGGATGGAAGGCTGAGTCAACCTTGAACTGGTTAGACTCAAACTGCCAAACTGCTGGCAGCCAGCAGAATTAGCCTGGAATACTGCCTTCAAACCACCATGACACCACAGTAGTTGTGGTGACACATGGTTTGATACCTTCCTATAGAACTTCCTGACAGAAAATAGATTTCATGGTTGTATCAGCAGAGTGTGCCCAAACCATGGAACTGCTTGAAAGCTGGCATGAAATTTTGACTGCCTGCTTTCTATGAAACACAATGATACCTATCCACCCCACAAAGTTCCACTCTTGTTTCATCAGTTTATATATGTTGCTCTGAAAGACACACATATTTTCTAGATTATTTTAATCTCATGCAATTGTAATGATTTTGACAGAACAACAACTTTTGGGAAAGTTCTTTGCTATCTTCTCCATCTTTCTTCCCCACCCCCACCCTCCTGACAATCAGCTGTAGATACGATCAGCTGTGGCGGGATTCCCCTTGCTAAGGCCCAGGAAGGCAAAAAATGGAGGGAGGAGCTCAGCCTCCCCCTCCATTTTTTGCCTTCCAGAACCCCAGAGGAGCCTTAGGGGAGCAAAAATGCCCCCCCCGAGGCTCCTCTGAGGCCAGGAAGCTCCCAAAACGGAGCTTGGAGGGGTGCTGTGCGCCCCTCCCATGCTCTGTTTCTTTTCTTCCTGAGCCTTAGAGGAGCCTTAGGGGAGCAAAAATGCCCCCCAGAGGCTCCTTTGAGGCTAGAAAGGTCCCAAAAAATGGGTGGGAGCTGCAAAAAAAGCCACGCCCACCCAATCACATGGCCACACCCACCAAGCCACGCCCACAGAACCGGTAGTAAAAGGTTTTGAATCCCACCATTGATTTGAACGCAGAGGAAAATTATGGATACAGACTTAAAAATATAAATGTATATTATCACTTATTTAGCACTTTGCAATTTTTAAACTGTTCCACATTCAACACCTTGAAGTAATGTATAACACAGTTACTCCTATATACTGTATTTCAAGTAAAATCTGAATTCACAGCTCAGTCCCTAGATAACAAGTGTGGGTTAATGTAGTGTCTGTAAGGAGTGTCCCTGTGTTTGTGGACATTTATCCTGGTGCTTATCTGCCACCTGTTCCCCACCTGATCTTTTCTTTTTTACATTAAAGCCTTATTTAAAAATAGTTTATTTTGAAGAATGCCTCTTAGGATGCACCTTATAAATCTGATGGGTTGCTGAAGTTGTGCTTTGTGACTGCCTACTCAAGACCACGTTAAGAAGTTGGCCAACACTCCGACATCCCAATGTTTTGTCAGTAGCCAAATTCCCCCTAATGCCTGTTCTGTGCAAGGCCCATGGCAGCCATTTGTAGTTGCACTTGTAATATACTTTAAAATTTTCAAGGGTGCGCACCAGGGCAAAAAACTTGGGGAATCTATGAAATGTCTTCTAACAGAAAAACTATGAG